AATAGGAATGGCGTGCGCATGCGAGGCAGACGGACGAAGCCTAGTCCGCGCGGGACTAGGCGAGGCATTGGCGTGCACGTGCGAGGCAGGCAAGGCGCGCGATGCCTCGCTCGCCAAGGAATAGGATAGCCGAAGGCGGCGTGCGTGAGGTGGTCGAAGACATGAGGCGCAAGACTTGTGCTTCTAGAATGTTTGGAGTGCAAGACAAGTAATTAGGAGATCTAGTAGATTTAGGAATTTATGGTAGTAGGATATTTACTAGCCTTAGGATTTAATATTTAATTGTTTTAATAGTTTCCTAGTAAGATTAGCATTAGAGATAGTTGGTACCTATAAATACCCCATGTACCTCATCATATTTTACATGTTGAATGAAGTATTGAATTGGTGAGCCAATTTTGAGGGGGAACTCATATTCTTAACGTGTGATAAAGAAGGCCATTAGAGCGTCTTTACATGCAGTGTCGGAGAGAAGGCCAATAGTGCGTCTTGAAGTCACAGTATCTAGGAGAAGGCCGTAGTGCATCTGTTAGATACACCTATCGGGGATAAACAAAGGCCGCAGTGCGTCGTTTATTCGCAACCCAGTATAGACAAAAGATCGATCCGTCATCATTGGTGCTTTCATTGAGAGGTGCTGATCGATATTTTGTCTATCTTATCTTTTATTTTTTTTCGGTTTGCCTTTTGCTGAGGGGCCGAATTTATCTTCTTTTTTGGGTCGAAATTTTCGAATTTATTTCGAATTTTTCATTAAAAAAAAAAGTGTCATCTTGTTAGTCCTTTGTTTATTTTTTCGGTTATTACCTTTTGTTGAGGGGCCGAATTTCTTTTTTGTTTCGATTTTTTGAGTCTTGTTGGGGGTTCGAATTTTCGAATTTTTCCCCTATTATTTTCGAATTTTTTATAGAGTATAAAAAAAAAAAGAGAGAGTCATGATGTTACCAATAGATGAGTGGGATCAAGAGGATCTTGAATATTTGGAAGAATTGGAGAGGGAATTAACCCCATGGGAGCAAAATTATTTGGAGGAAATGTACAAGCAAAACGAGAAGTACGAACAACAACTCAAGATCACGAAGGAGTTCATCGAAGAAAAACCTTTGTTTAAGTCCTATCTATCGGGCTATGTTGAAGAAGAGGTTGCCGAGTGTGTGGACGAGCCGATCGAGTACGATGAACCACATGCGCTCGATGAGGGGACCATGGGCGAGAATTTCTCGATCAATTACTTGGGTCCACCGATGTCCGACAATGACAGAACCGCGGACGTCGAGGAAGTCAAGCTAGCCGAGGTTGAAGAGGTGATCAAAGGCGATGTAGGAACATTCGTTGAGTTCAAAGAAGTCAAGACCGAAGGAGACCAGGTAATCAATGTTGCAAGCGAGATCATGGTCGAAGAGGTGTTCGAAGTCGAGATCTTGGCCATGGTCGATGAGGATCGTGAGTGGGATGTGTGCGTGATCGAAGAAGAAGTTCCCGAGTTTTGAATGGTCGAGGATGAGTCCTTGAGGACAAGGACATTCTCAAAGGGGGCGAGAATGATGCGTAAGTGGGTTTTGACCCCCGAAGGCAAGAAGGGCCAGGAGCCGAGACGACCCTATGAGGCTGAAAATAGGGCCAAAACGATGCAAGCATGGCCTAATAGACGGGTGCGAGCTCGTATGCGAGGCGAATGGACGAGTGCGTATCGGGCGCTAAGTACGCGTAAGCGCGCACGGGCGCTGGGCACAGGCGGGTGCGCGCGGGTGATAGGCCGTATAGGCGCGAAGCGCGCTGGGCGCGCGACTGGAAGTAACACGGGCGTCCAAGACCGCACGGGCATAGGAGTAAGGGGCAGCGGTAAGCACGCGCGCAAGGAGGCCAGTGATAGCAGGGTGCGCACGATAGAGCGCGAGTGGAGCACGGATGCGGGCGATGGCCTAGAACGCGTAGGCATAGGAGTGCTGGACGACGAGCGCGGGGCGCACGGCGACACGCGCGAGGCACAATGCAAGAACGAGGTGGCAAGCCTAATCCTCGTAGGAATAGGCAAGGCGCGTATACTAATCCTCGTAGGAATAGAAATAGCAGTTAAGTGCCGGAATGCGCGTGGGAGATCGGTGACGGGAGTAATCCTCAGAAGATCAGGAAACATAACCGAGAGCCTATTCCTAGTAGGAATAGGAATAGTGGATATGGGCCCGAGGCATGGTCCTACAAAGAATAGGAATGGCGTGCGCATGCGAGGCAGACGGACGAAGCCTAGTCTGCGCGGGACTAGGCGAGGCATTGGCGTGCACGTGCGAGGCAGGCAAGGCGCGCGATGCCTCGCTCGCCAAGTAATAGGATAGCCGAAGGCGGCGTGCGTGAGGTGGTCGAAGACATGAGGTGCAAGACTTGTGCTTCTAGAATGTTTGGAGTGCAAGACAAGTAATTAGGAGATCTAGTAGATTTAGGAATTTATGGTAGTAGGATATTTACTAGCCTTAGGATTTAATATT